CATCAATGTCCACTTTGGGTCCTTTGATGTCAACCTCTGGGCCTTTGAGGTCGCCTTCCACTTTGGGTAGGGAAACATCCACATCTCCCTTTACTTTGGGGCCCTTAAGATGCAAGTCAGGCATGGAGATTTTAGGAGCCTTGATGTTCATCTCAGGCATCTTGAATTTGGGGCCCTTCAGCTTTGCATCTGGACCTTCAATATTCACATCTGGAACATCAATGTCCACCTTGGGTCCTGAGACCTCAATGTCAGCCTTTGGTAGATTCACATCCACCTCAGGGCCCTCTCCTTTGAAGCCAGGCATGCTGCACTTGGGCTGTGTCATCTTGGGCATTTTCAGGTGCCAGTCTGGACCATGAACGTCCACATCTGGAGCATCAATGTCCACTTTGGGGCCTTTGATGTCAACCTGTGGTACTTTCACTTCACCTTCTATCTTGGGCACCGTCACATCCACGTCCCCTTTGACTTTGGGGCCTTTCAAGTGTAAGTCCACATCAGGCATGGAGATCTTGGGGGCCTTGAAGTGCATGTCGGGCATCTTAAACTTGGGGCCCTTCAGCTTTCCTTCTGGGCCCTCAAGGCTCACATCTGGGGTTTCAATGTCAACTTTTGGTCCTGAGACATCAATGTTAGCCTTAGGTAGGTTCACATCCACATCTGGACCCTCAGCTTTGAGAGTAGGCATACTGAACTTGGGCATTTTCATCTTTGGCATTTTCAGGCTCCAGTCTGGGCCTTGACCTTCCACATCTGGAGCTTTAATATCTACCTTTGGACCTTTGATGTCCACATCTGGAACTTTCATCTCTCCCTCTATTTTTGGTGTAGACACATCTAGATTTCCTTTTATTTTGGGTCCTTTGAGATCTAGGTCCACATCTGGTAGTGACGCCTTTGGAGCCTTGAAATGCATCTCAGGCATCTTAAACTTGGGACCCTTCAACTTCCCTTCTGGTCCCTCAAGGTTCAAATCTGGAGCACTAATATCTAGCTTTGGTACAGAAATGTCCATATCAGCCTTGGGCATGCTCACATCCAAATCTGGGCCTTCTCCTTTGAGACTCGGCATGCTGAACTTGGGCATTTTAATCTTTGGCATTTTCAAGTTCCAATCAGGACCATGAATATCAACATCTGGAGCGCTGACATCTACTTTTGGGCCTTTCAAGTCTCCTTCAACCTTTGGCACTGTGACATCATACTCTCCTTTTATATTTGGACCTTTCAGATGCAAATCCACATCAGGCATGGAGATCTTGGGGGCCTTGATATTCATCTCGGGCGTCTTCAGCTTGGGACCCTTTAGCTTTCCTTCAGGTCCTTCAATGTTCACCTCTGGAGCTTTGATGTCTACTCTGGGTCCCGAGACATCAATGTTGGCCTTCGGGAGATTCACATCTACTTCTGGACTCTCTGCCTTGAAGCCCGGCATGCCAAACTTGGGCGTTTTTATCTTAGGCATCTTCATGTGCCATTCGGGACCTTTAACGTCCACATTTGGGACATCAATGTCCACCTTGGCACTCTTAAGTTCAACATCAGGAACTTTAATCTCACCTCCAGCCCTTGGCACGGTGACATCATATTCTCCCTTTACACTGGGGCCTTTTAAGTGTAAGTCCACATCTGGCATGGAGATCTTTGGGGCTCTGATATTCATTTCAGGCATTTTAAACTTAGGTCCTTTCAGTTTCCCTTCTGGTCCTTCAACGCTCACTTCTGGAGTACTGACCTCCACCTTAGGCCCAGAAATGTCCACATCAGCCTTGGGCAGATTGACATCCACTTCTGGGCCTTCTGCTTTGAATCCTGGCATGCTGAACTTGGGCATTTTCATCTTGGGCATCTTCAGGCCTGGGCCATGAACGTCCACTTCCGGGGTATTAGTGTCCACTTTGAGACCTTTCAGTTCTCCCTCAAGCTTTGGTGTTGTTACGTCATACTCTCCCTTCACCTTTGCGCCTTTGATGTGCAGGTCTACATCAGGCATAGAAATCTTTGGAGTTTTGACGCTCACTTCAGGCAGATTAACATCAGGACCTTTAAGTTTTCCCCCCGGAATCTCCATGTTGACATTTGGGGTTTCTATATTGACCTTAGGCCCTGAAATACTGATGTCTCCTTTGGGTAGAGTCACGTCTACATCTGGGCCTTCTCCTTTGACTCCTGGGACACTGAACTTGGGCATCTTCATCTTAGGCATCTTCAAGTTCCATTCTGGGCCATGAACTTCCACATCTGGTACATTGACATCCATTTTGGGGCCTTGGACATCAAGTTCAGGGGCTTTGATTTTTCCTTCTACTTTGGGTAGCATGACATCTACACCCCCTTTACCTTTAGGTGAAGCTACATTTAAGTCTACATCTGCCATAGAGATCCTACAGGCCCCCATTTTTCCAGAAGGGCTGCTGAGTTTGGGGCCTGTCAAGGTCCCCTCTAAGTTAGGTGTCTCTATGTCCACTCTGGAGCCTTTAACTGCCACCTGAGGGCCTTTAACATCACCTTTCACCTCAGGAGCAGTCACCTTCATATCTCCTTTCAGTTTACAGGACCCAACGCTCAGATCCACATCCTGCATGGAGATTTTAGGCTTCTGAACAATCATTTCAGGAGCCTTGCCTTTAGCACCCTTCATCTTCCCTCCTAGGCCACCAGTAGCAATCTCGGGCAGATCGACATCCCCAGAGATGCCAGGAAGGGTCACTTCACCTGTGGGCAATGTCACATCAATCCCAACCCCCTCTCCCTTTGAACCTGATGCAGAGAATTTAGGGACTTTCATCTTGGGCACATTCAGTTTGCCCCCCAGTCCAGGAATATCAACGTCAGGGGTTCCAACTTCCACACTGGGACCAGTGATGCTGCCCTCAATTTTGGAAGCACAAGTACCCATTCCTATGCTCCCCTGCAACTTGGTACCTTTCAGACCTAAGTCACTCTCAAGTGATGGCCCACTGATTTGGGGACCCGTCAGCTTCCCCCCAAGCCCCTCAATATTGGCAGAGGAGGCACTGACTTCCAGATGAGGGGCCTGGATATCCCCACCAATGGTCAAGCCTGGCTTTTCACCCTCATGCCCCACAGAGAATTCAGGTGCAGTAACATTCAGCCCCACCTCTGGGCCTGCTGAGACACCAAATTTTGGCATCTTCATGGTAGGAATTTTAATTTTCCCAATATCACCACTCTGGAGGGATGGGCCCTGTACCTCTACTGAGCCAGTCCCAAGAGAAGTGGACGAAGTGTCCACTCCAGGAACTTGGCTCCCTCCCTTGCCACCTAAGCCCAAGTCTTTTGCACTGACATTGACTCCTGGACTTCCCACCTTTATTCCAGGCACAGTGACCTGGAATTTTGATTGGCCAGCACCTTCGAGCTCTGGTCCTGAAGCAGAAATGGCACCTGCCCGGATATCCATGGCAGAGCCTGTAGTTGGAGAAGCTACCCCTGATCCTGAGGGCAGTCTGATCACCGTCTTCCCAGGCTGGGTTTCCACATCTGTGTTGGAGATCTCAGTCACTTCATGCCTTGGTATCTTGATCATGAACTCAGGGCTGCTGATATCAATGTCTTTCACTCCTTCCCGACCAGTGACATCCACAGTGTAGGCTGTGACCCTTCTGGTCACTGTAATGGTACGGCTCTGGGTCTCTCCAAGGTCCCCTTCTACTCCATCCTCTGACCTCAGATGTGGCTTGATCTTTGTGGTGTAGATTCGTCGGTAGTCCTCATCATCCCCACTCTGCAGAAAGACACACCCGGCAGAGGTTGCAGCAAAGCCCACCTGAGTTGGCAAATGCCTGGCCAAAGTCTAGCCGACAACAGGGTTGCCTGTTTCCCAAAGATGCTCAGAACATAACAGAGGTCCAGAGAGCCTCCTGGGGAACAACCCAGGGGACTGAAGAAATGGGTTGACAGTCACATCACAAGAGGAAAATAGAAATTACTTGGAAAATTCTGGTAAGCAAAGGTCATACCAGGGTTAGGAAATATGTAGATTCCTGAATGGTGTTGCCCAGCAAGAGGTTGTACCACCTGGTGATACTTCAAAACAATTTGTTCAGGGACCCACCCCAACCAGGCCCTCCATCCTTCAACTCTCCGCCCACTGAATTGCTTGTTTAAGAGACTCCCAGGAGCTTTTGCACACTGGAAAGCACTTGTGAAGCCTGATGGCCTGGCTGTGTTTGGGTAATACTGTCACTTCGAGGAGACATGGTTTATTCAATAAGCAAGCCATTAGGAGTAAAGAAGAATTTCCCATGAGCACTGTGCTGCTCATCTTTTCAAACTCATGGGATGTAGAGAGGTAGGCTAAACACCAGTGAAATCATTGCAAAGGCTCTAGCAAAGCAGCCGACCTTCCTCTTGGCACCTATGCCCCCATTGCTTGAGTGGGTTCCTATGCCATGGCACAGTCTCAGGAGACTGAAGGAACACTACACTTGTAAGAGCAGAATCAGACATAGGCCACGATGTAAACAGGAAGAAAGCAGCAGAGAGAAGTCATAAAAGAATGCAGACAGATGAAACAAGAAGGGATTAATTAGCAGAGGTCCAGGAGACAAACAGAAGGCTCGGGAAGTGAGGCCAGGAGGCCACCAGGATCATGGGGAGCTCAGAGCAAAGGTGGGTCACCAGCAACTCACCAGAACCACCTCAGAGCTACGGGAGCTGAAGACTTCATGGGTCCAGGTCTGTCCAGGCTCAGGGGACCGGTCCCCCTTACGATGCAACTTCAAGCCAACAGTGTGATGCCCCATGGTGTTCAGCAGCTGGGTCACCTCACCAGACTGCAGGTTGTCAAAATAGATGGTGGCACCCACAATCTGGTCCCCTAAGTAAGGAAGTGCAGCAATCAGGTAGAGACCCACAGATCTCAAGAAGAGACCACATAACAGACACTAAAACTTCCCTTGAGCGCCATAGATGTCATGCAGACACAGTGTTGCCCATTCAATGTGCAGAAGAGCAGGCTGTGGCCTAAAAGGTCAACTATTCTACACAAATCTGCAGAACTGGTAAGGGGAGCAGATCAGATCTGAAGACATGGTCTCCAAGAGTCGACATAACTGCTTCCCCTCAGATTCACAAGCAAGACATAGAGTAGGCAAAGAACAGGGTTGGGTACTAACCATCCTTGTGCTGTTGGACCCAAGCCTTCCACAGCCATCTGGTCATTTCTGCCTGCCCCGCTGCCTCCCAAGCATCCCTTTAATAACCTTTCCCATCCCCAGTGCCCAGTCACTATCTCGGGGAGACTCACCCTCCTTGACCACCCCGGTGCGGGCCGCAGGGGAGTTCTGCATCACTTCCTGTACGAAGACTCCATCGTCCCTCTGGGCAATGGTCAGTCCATGGGAGCCACTGCCCTGCCAGTTAGGCAGCAGCAGCTCCCGGGTTGTCTCCTCCTCCTTCTCCATCTGGGATGAGGTAAAGAAACAAGCTCTGGTCACAGGGGACACAGAGGGCAGAAGGAATGAGAAAGCCAGAAATCTTTGGTATTGTGCACACCCAGGGAATGGAACCCATGTACCATGCAACCGCCCTGGCTCACCTGCCAAGCAAGGGTTCCTCGGGGAGGAGAGCGATCTGCATTGCAAGTTCTCTCAAGGCACAATAGAGAATATAGAGGGGGTAGCCAGCCCTTTGACCCACCCAGGACCCAGTTCCAAATGCTTCATCAATTACCCAGGATCCCCATCCTAACCTCCATCCCTCTGCACCATCCCACCTACCAACCTTTGCAGGACTCTATTCAGGAGCAAATGCCTTGCCAGGAGCCCGCCCCGCCTCCTTCTCTTCTTCTATCGGTCTCTCTCTCTCTCTTTGGGAATCTCGGTCACACAGCCTAGGAAAAATTTCATCGTGATGCTCGCATTTGGCTTTTCAAAACCTCAGTGATAGAGAGATGCTGTTCTCCAGGCCAAACCAACACTACAGTCAGGGCCCCACTACGATCAGCAACTACATGACTCTGAGGCTCATTGCCACACAAAACGAGGTTAAAGGAAATTAGACCAGGTCTCCACTACTGGCTACATCCTCCTAGCTATAGGTCTCTTGCCAAGGACACTTGACCTCTCTGAACCTACGTTTCCTTGGCTGTGAACATGGAAATGGTAAGAGTTCCACACAAATTGAAAGAAGACAGCAGCTGGTCCACGGAGGTCCCACAACACAGTCATGTTCATCATTCTCTAAAATAGATGGTCCCACTTTACAAGCAAAGAGATTGAAACTCTGAAAGGTCAGTTTATCCGGAGTGCGCACAGAGAGAGTGATGATGCTGCCGCCAGGCCCTAGCCTGTTTCTCTAGGTCTTTCCCCTATGCCACATTGAGGCTCACCTTTCCACACATGTGAGACTGTTCTGTAAACACAGATGGTGCTGTCCCCTACCCCACTGACAGTGACTCAGCTTACCATCTAGGATGACCCTCAGGTCCAAAAGGAACCCTTCCCAGCTGGCCTAAACAAAGACAATCCCATCCCCATCAGGCTCCCCAAGCCAAAAGGCTGAAGGAAAGCTGAGCCCAGCTCAGGCCTGTGGTGAGTCAAGGCCCACGTGGCTGCCCACACCGGGCCCTGAGCCAGGCTCCATAGGTAAAGGCATTCCTGCTTGCCACCGGATGAGTGGATGAGTTATCAGCTGCAGAGGTGCCCTGGGAAGGCACCCGGAAGGATGAACTTTAACCACCCACACAAAATGGTGCTGGCAGCCATCTAAAGCATACCTAAGAAACTGTATGAAGGACTCTATAAATTGTGGTGAGCCTCACCCAAAGCCCCACCCTGAAACTGTTTACATCCAGAAATTAGTCAACCAATCAATAAAAACATGCATGCTGGTCACCTCCTAGATGTTCTAGTCTGTACTATATACTGTAAAGGATACCATCCAGGGGCAGCACGGTCCAGCCCAGCACTTAATTGCATACTGCAGCAGATCATTACGTTCCATCACTCATGCATCCTCTAGACATTTACTGAATGCACTCTCTGTGCCAGATACGGAAATTTAAAAGACATGGAATCCTGTCCCGGCATAAATGATAAGCAGAGGACTCTGGGTGTGACCAACTGGGCTCCACAATGTACCAGAAGTCTTAAGAGTCTTCTCAGGGCAATAAAATATAAATGGGGCATCCAAGGTGCTGGAATTGGCCTCTAGGATGGGACTGTGGCTCTTAGAAATCCATGGCACTTAGCAGGTCCAGATACCAACATGGACAAAATATAAATACAAAGATAAACCCCAGATCACCACACCTGTTCTCAAACTCCACAAACTCATAAATGCAGTATTTATCATGAGCCTACTTAACAACACAGGTGCTGGCTAGAGTGTGAGCAAAGACAGGAGAGAGGCCTGCTGGCACAGGCTTGAGCTAGGGAAAGGCCTCCTCCCTTCCCAGCAGCAAGAAGAGGCCACTTTAGAGGAAAGCCATACTGACTCTTCCCAACTTGAAAATGGCACTTTCTGCCCCTGCCCCAGACCAATACTGAGAAGCCAGCCTGGCAGCCAGGAGCCACGCAGAAGCAGAGGAGGTTAAAAAAAAATAAAAAAAAAAAAGTCTCTAGTCTCTAAGAACTGAAGCCACCCCTTCAGGTTTCCCCAGTACCCCGTCTTCCTCCTTGTGCAGGGCCCCTTACTCAGCCAAACATCCTGGTGCTGAGCCAGCAGAGGCGAATGAGAGCCAGCTCACTCACCCACATGGTGGCTCCACCCTCCTCCCTTCCACGGTGAGTCAGTGCAGTCTGAAGCAACAGCTCCAGACATGCACAGGGTCACGCCTAAACCCTAGTCAATGCAATGCTGCCTCAGCCAGGCCCCCAAGTACCAAAGAGACTAGGACTTCCCAGTTTCCCTTCTCTAGATTAAGCCCTAGGACAAGGGGCTTTAGATGCAAAAAGTGCTGAGGACCAACAGGGACTTGTTATATACTTCACTCAGTAGGCGGCTGAGAGAAGTAATTCTGAAAAGTTCTCAACCACTGAGCACAGGCGCCATTGGATTCATGCTCAGCTCTGTTATCCTGACACAGCCAGGCCTGGGCCTGCAAGGCATGGGATACATATAAGAAGTGCAACGGCCTTTTTTCTGCATCTGGGCTCTTGGTCTATCCTCCACCAGTGGAGCCTGTAACAAGCCCAGATGTTCCTCCCTCTCCTCCCACATGGTTAGGTTAAGTAGGCCTCCAGGAAAATCCAAAAGAAGGTCTTTGGAGGTTGGGAGAATCTTCAGAATCCAGTCACTCATCACAAGCCTTTGGGACTTGAAGAGAATCAAATGTGTGCTGCTAACACGGTAGCCATATGTGGCTATTTAAATTTACACGGTTTAGACTGCCATGGTGGTGTGCACCTATAACCCCAGCACTCAAGTGAGCAAGCAGGAAGATCTAGAGTTTAAGGATGGCCTGAGCTACATGAGACCCTGTCTCCAAAAGTCAAAAGTAAAATAATTTTAGGCAGGTAATTAAATCATTGTGGTATTTCCCCCCAGGGGGAAAAAAAAAAAAAAGATGAGAGATGACTCAGAGTGAGTTCAGAATCCTGCCGCTCTTCCAAAGAACTGAGTTCAGTTCCCTGAACCTGACTGAGTTCATGTCGGGTGGCTCACTACCACCTGAACTCCAGCTCCAGGGATCCTATGCCCTCTAGTCTACATGTACACCTCCACATATGCGACATACACAGGCCCACGTGTGTATAAAATTAAATTTCTTCTTGCTGTTGTTGTTGTTTTTGAGACAGGGTTTCTCTATGTAACCCTGGCCGTACTGGAACTCACTATGTAGACCAGGCTAGCCTCAAACTCAGAGATTCACCTGCCTCTGCCTCCAGAATGCTGGAGTGCTGAGATTAAAGGCCTGCTCCACTATGCCAGGCTGCTCCCAATTTTAAATTATTTTTAATTATTTATGTTCGTGTGTGTGTGTGTGTGTGTGTGTGTGTGTGTGTGTGTGTGTGTGTGTGTGTGCGCGCGCGCACGCGCGCGCGCGCGTGTGTACACTTGACTGCAAGTGCTCATGAGGCCAGAGGTGTCAAATTCCCCTGGAACTGCAATTACAGGTGGTTATGAGTGGCCCAACATCAGTGCTAGGGCCAAACTTGGGTCCTCTGAAATAGTCCTCACTCTTAACCACCAACCCATCGCTCCAGCCCTGTAGGTCCTGTTTGTTTGTTTGTTTGTTTGTTTGTTCGTTCGTTCGTTTGAGTTTTTCAGCTTTTGAGGTAGGGTCTCATATTGTCCAGGCTGATCCCAAACTTTCTGTGTAGATGAGAATGACCTCCAACCTTCTGATCCTCCTGCCTCCACCTTCTGACTTCCAAGATTACAAAGGCATACTGCCACACCCAGCTTGAAGTTAAAGATGTAGTCCCACTAGCTGGTGCCTAGCAGCCACATGCAGCTGCCACTGCCGTATTCACACAGCAAGGATGTTCAAATTTTCCCTACAGTGGCATTCTGGATGAAGCACTGGCTGCCACTCACATATGGGAAAGGAAGGTACACAGAGGCTAGAACAGGGGAGTGTTAAAGCCCTAGAATTCAGCTCTGCTAACTCCATTTCTGTGGCCCAGTCGATGGGCTTGGCATCCTTTGTGATGAGAAGAAGCAGGGTTGGAGTGGAGACCCCAAATGTAGAAGGCTGCTTGGATGACAGAAAAGGGATGAGGCAATAAGGATGCTCTAGGTAAAAACAGAAAGGACTCAGGGACAGGGCACAGCTCAGGCCAAACACCATGTCAGAATGCCCCCATCCTGCAACTCAACACCACAAAAATCCATGCAGCAGCAAGCTCTGCCTGTGCCCGCTCCCAGAGGGGCCACACAGGGCATATCTAGATGTCCAAAAGGAGAACATTCCTGGCAAGGATGACCTCCAGAAGCCCATCCTCTCCCCTCTGTCTTCAGGGACTAAGGCCTTTTCTTTCCTCTCTACAGATGACAGCTCAGGACAATTGCTGCTGCAGCTACAGATAGCCACCGTCTGTGTCAAAGTGACAGGAACAAACACACACACACACACACACACACACACACACACACACACACACAGTGACAAGCCCTAGGGCCTCAATGGCTGAATGGGTAAATCTGAAGACAGGACCTACACTAGAAGGCCACATGGCAGTGGGCCTGCCTAGCACGATCTGCACACAGAAGGGCATACTCATGGAAGAAGGGAGGACCTCTGTGACCCGTGCTGCAGCACCCATATGTCCTAACTAACCCGCTATACACACAAGGCAGGGACAAGCAGTTTCCATCCCAAGAACATGACTCATGGCTAGGATTAGAGACCTCCACCAGAGCAAAAGCCCTGACACTCAAAACCAAGCAACGCGTTGGAGAGTCATAGAAGGGAGACACACCCAGAAGGATGATATACTGACACAAACACTCCCCAAAGAGGAAGAGAAAGCTGCATGGTGAAGGAAACCCACCATCGACAGCTAAGAGAAAGAATTCTGCTGAGCGCTGCGTGCCGAGTGCTGTGCTGTGGACATCCCATGCTTAGGGCCCCATCTCACGTACAAACAATGCTAGAGGGAAAGCATTAACTACCTTAGAGATATGGAGACAGGCCCCAAGCCAACAGTCTTCACCCACGCAGAGAGAGCAAGGCACCCACCAGCCGCGTGATGGCCCTACCCAGGCAGAGTTGCAGGCACCTGGGGTACAGCACTTAAGGGACCTCTGATTCTGGATCTCTTTGAGGCTGTGTCCCGAGGAGTTAGGAATCCCAAGCTTCTCAGAAGCTGGAACTTCCCAGAACCTAGTTCTGGAATTCTCTTGGGCTAATACACAGAAGACAAAGGGAGATTTTCTTTCAGACAC